GAGAGGGTTGACATGTTGTGGGGTTATTAACCAATGTCATAAAACAATACGTGTACTGACTGTTTAATGAGAAACTATTTCTTCCGTAAACCTTCACCTAAAGTACAATTAAAAAAAAAAAAGTAAGCCCCTTTTTTCACGGAAAAAAAAATTTCAAATACAGTCTTCAATTTTAAAAAGGATTCAAAATGCACTTAACTGAAAAGTTAGTCAATAAATTTTGTTTAAAAAAATATATACATAGCACATGAAGATTCCTAACTAATAAAATCTATAAAAAGAAAATCAGTATTCAGATCTCTAGAGCAAACATTGTATGCTATTTATATTTCAAATAACTCCCCTAAAGTTTGGAGTATGACATAACATTTTAAATGGCTATAACATCACTAAAATGCTTCCTTATAAATAACTAAATCATTTCTTGACTCAATTTTGAAAACTCTTTGAAATGTGGAAGAAAACAGTTAATGAATTTGGAAATAAAATTTATACGCCCCTACCCTGGGAAGTCTGGCAAAACATATTAACTGTTGAATATATGCACTATTGCATTCTATTTTCTCCAATTTAATGTATGACAGGCAGAAACCAGGCATTGCCATTTGTGTTTCTGAAGATAAAATTCTAATAACTAATGTTAACAAAGCCTAGCAAAAAGATTACATTTATAATTAAAAATGAGGAACTAAAGCATTAAATATTTGCCAATAAAACGAAATTGTCAATTTTCTATTTCTCAGCGTAGCCATCACCTTCCCAATCATTTAAAAAAGTCTTAACATAAACTCTTTTCTCAATTTTGAAAAATTTAGGTTAATAACTGATCTAGTTTCTGTCACTAAGTAATAACTCTTTTTTTTAAACTAAAATGTTATGAATTTTCAGATGCTAAAATTAGGCAGAAATGATAACATGTGTTTCAAACTGGGTGAAATCAAGAAAATAAATTTCAATTCAAACATGTTTAACTAGTTTCTACATTCCAGAAATAGCTGTATCATCCTGTCACAAATTTTTTAATGTCATACTTTGAAGAAATAAGTTTTTTAAAATAAACTACAACTTTATTGCTAACAATTGTTTCTCAAAGGTTTATGGTGGAAAATTAAGTATTCCCACTTGCATTAAAGTAAAAGCTAGTAAAATGTGGTTTAACTTCTTTTTATAAAAGTATAAAATATATCTGACATTAAAAAAAAACAAAAAACAAATACCAGAAATGCAGATCTAGAGGCTACTGATATTCAATCAGTTGTCTCTCCCCCAAGTAGTTGTGGTTTCAAAACAAAACAAAATCAGAACTAAGCAAAAATTAATTATCAAACTAGTAAGAGTTTCCAACATAAGCTATTTATTAATAATTTCACATTCTTTTTAAATTTTAAAGTATTTCTATATTCTTATCTATTGGCATAAAAATGGATTTTCTTACAATGAAAGTACTGCCTAATGTGAGTCTTCACTTTTCTGATTATTCATATGAAAATGTATAAACACTAAATTTTAGAAATTTACAGATATTTGAAATTCCTATCTTCTATACGTGTTTTATTAATATATGTGAAATTTACATAGCTGACTGACATCTCTAAACACCTAGGAAAAAGCCTTACATCTAACAATGATTTGGTACTGAAATTAACAAAAGAAAAAAAAGTACTGTCTTTCATAAAAGTGTATTTCTACTGAAATAGTAAATCAACTTAAAAAAGAATGAAAGTATCAGTGAAAACTATGTGTATGTCAGAATAAATCAGAAAAATCCATAGTATTCTGAAAAACTGAGAAGGCTGAGGAGCAGAAATGGCTTAACACAGACATGAAAGCAATATAGATGTTTAGCAAATACAAAAACAGGAAGCTTAAACCAGAAGACTCAAATAAGATCTGATCCAGGTCCCTACCTAGGTTCATAAAACAGTAAAGTCACAAATACATAATTTATTACTCGGCAACCTACAAATAAAAACTTCATATAATAAAATTTCCCCTCAAAATGACCTTTGTTTCTAATTACTAATAATTTACGTAGTACAAACTGACTGAAATCCCTTATACTGTAAATGAGCAGCAATGAAACTTAAGTATGAGAGTTAAGACAGTGATGGATTAACAACAAGGGAAACTAGAAAGCTTTGCCATGAATCATGGTTTTGGGAATACTGACTTAGAAGACCTAACATGTAAGTCCCTTTTCAATCCTAAAAATACACAAAAAATTTTAAATCTTAAATTAAAAATACCTTTCTACAACCAAAATTACTCATGAGAAGCAGTAAAAGCAGTAGAGGGCATGTCAAAGGTGAGGTCACTGTGTTTCTGTGAATGTTTTATATTATCTAGCCAATAACCATCTGGTTACAAATTTTCTGAAAGAAATCAAAATTTAACTAAAAAAATTCAATTTACTTAGCTTAAGGAAGAAACCTCCCCTCCAACAACACCATCATTAAGCGACATCAAAAGCATACTGAGGATTATGTTTAACCGTTTTTACAGAAAAAAACAAAAGAGAAGAAAATGATTTATTCTGGTAGTTTTTGTGGAATTTGGTTATATGTTCAGTAAGGGAAACATGTGGACTGATACACCCAAAAGTTTCAATAGACAGGTTATTAACAGAACAAATGTAAAATATCAAACTGAAGATTAAAGTGACTTTTAACATACTAGAACAAAGTAAATCCTTTAAATGTATACTTAAAGTTTTTTAATAAACACACGAGGGACCAAAACCAAAAAGAAACCCAAACCTACTGCCAGTGAGTCGACTCTGACTCACTGCGACCATACAGGACAGAGTAGATCTGCCCCGTGGAAATACCCGAGGAAAGGTAATAGTACTACTGAAGGAACTAGCTGCCTTTCCTAGTTAATAAACTCATTTCTAATAACGAGAGCTCCTGTTGTGAAATATATTAGTTCTTCTCCTCTATTTTCTTATCCTAGTAGCTGCATCCTATTTCTTAAACCAAAACAAACATATTAATGCTAATTAAGAAATAAAACACATTAAGTGTACGTTAAAAAAAAAAATGTCACCTGGAATAAATCTAATATTAGTTTACGGATACCTTGGTTCCCTGGAGAGTTCTTTTTTGTCCCTATAAATGTTATTTGAAAAAAGAACGAGAGAATTTAAGGAGGCAAGAATTTCTTTAATTTAAAAAACTAAATATAATTTAGTGTATTACTCACGTATCTAAAAGAAACTGGACTCTTCCCTTTAAATTTCTACTTAGATATGTTCTTGTTCTTATAGTTCTTAAAGGTAAAACAATGACTATGCCCTAAGTAAATCTAAGTCTACAACATTGATGAGAATTTTTTTATTTTTAGTTTTATGAGAAGTTAATGGTTAAATAAATTAAATCATGGACACTGCTGTGTAAAAATGTAGAAAGTGACTGAATTATTTTTATATCAAGCATGTTGGACTTCCATGTTCAATAAAACCTAATAAAGACTAAAGAAAGTTAGGAAAAAAACCTGTAACCAATATTTAATATATATTTCAATGGCTAAGGTACTCACAATAGTAGAATATTTTAAATTAGTCAAACCCTCTTTACCATCTCAGTAATAGAATATTAACCATAAAGTGAGTTTTCCCCATGCCTTTCTTTACAGCATAAATATAAATTCTACTGATTCTGGAGAAGATATGAAGTATATAAAAAAATACTACTCAACCCAAATTAAAGACAATAACCTACCTAGTGAACTACCAAAGAACTAAAAGGGAAAAAATAATTGGATGTCAACTCTTAAATGCCCACACTAAGCAGAATGATTTAGATTAACAAATTTATTATAAGTTTGTCAAAGACCTCTTTTTGGTCACCTTTGTTACCTGGGTACTCTGATACATTCCTCTGATCCTAGCAGGCCAAGTTGTCCATCAGAATCAAGACCCCAAGCATACACCTGGCCCTTGTCATTTAGCGCTAACGTATGAGCTTCTCCACATGAAACAGCTACAATATTTTGGGCATCCAGGGCAACAACCTGCTCTACAAAAATCAAGAAGAGAAAAATTACATTCCAGTTTTGAACTTCCAATGAGAATAAAACACATCAAGTCTCATTTTGTGCAAGAAAGTTAAGGGAATGTTTAAATACACACTAAATATAACTTTAGTTATTCTGAAAAATCTAGCAAATATGTTGTATACATAATTATCCCTGTGGTAAATACAGATAAACACACCGTAGGACATAATCAAACCCAGTATATTAAGCGACCCAAACATTTTAGGGAAGAAGTTAAGGGTTCATAAAGATTCTCTCAGAAAGTGCTCTCCATTCAAAGCCATTACCACTAGAGGAGAGAAAAGTTTACCTGAAAGGGGAATCATTTAAATAATCTGGGCTATGTGATTTTTTTAAAACAATAAAATCATAATTGCCACATATGAACTGGAGTTGACTTGATGGTAACCAACAACAACAGTGTGATTCTGGAATTAATGAAGTAACCTGAATCTGGCAATTTCTGATAGAAAACAAATTCTGTACAGATCTCATAAACAAATCAACTGCTGGATATACTGAGTAATGAAAAGCAGAATATGATCAAAACTGATATGTTCCAATTTTATGCACTGCCATTTTAATAACAAAAGACACAAAAACTTTATATGTGGCTAAAATGTATTCAAGCTTTACATCAGAAATTTATTTAAAATACTGGCTCTTCATTAAGACTGTCAGTAGCCACTGACAAATCAGTAAGGGAAGTAAAATTGTTTCTTTAGTCTCCTTAAGATATGCAATGTCCATCATAATTTTTTACTAGTAGCACTACAAGTTGTTGTTGTTAAGATGCCTTTTAAAATTAACTTTATGTATTTTTTTTGCTAAATCAGAAAGCTATTACTGTCTTCAATAAACCTGAAAACCACATGTTGAGGGGTGATTAAAACTGGATCAATCAGGGTTTCTTTAGAAGTACATGTTGGCTCAATTTACAAATGCAGCTGTTCAGTAATGAAAAAGACCACATTAAGGAGGCTGGAATCCCTATGTACAGAGAAATTAAAATTTTATCTGGATTATTATCCTATGTTCTGGGGTGGTAGCCCTATATAGCCTAGAGGAATCTGTAAAACTCTTAAAAGATAGGAAGACCCAGAAGAGTGAACCAAAACATGTAATGATGCATTTTAAGTACTTACCTTAAAGTACTGAGTTGTTAACTCTTTAAAAGCTGGTGACCAATACACAGAAGTTCACTATACTTATCTCTCACTTTCTGTATACTTTTTTAAAAATTATATTGTAGAAAAACACAAAAATAAAAAAGGAAAACAGAATATAATAAACTTTCCCCCACCAAATCAAGAAAATCACAAGTATGGGATCATTTGTTTTCATCAAAACATTTCCCTAAATCTTAATTATGAAAAAAGAAGTAAAACATATAAGAGATCTGTTACCTCTCACAGAGGCCCAAGAAAGAAGTCAGTGTCTCCAGGACAATCCTCAAAGGAAATAACAGTAAAAAGCAGAAAATGTCAAGATGACAAGTAGTATGAATAAGACTAGCTGTAAAATCAAACAGACCAAAATTCGAGAAACAAAGAAGACACAATCATTCATATCAAACATTAATATTTACTGTGTACCTCTTGTGCTCCAAGCACTGGAGACACAAAGATGAATAAAACACAAGTTCTACCCCTCAAGAGGCTATAGAAAAAGTCTATAGGATAACAGGTAGGATAATATGGTAATCGTGATTAAGGCTAAGAAAGATATATACAAAGGTACCATGAGAACATGAGATATCTATTTAAGCCTTGAAAGGTATTAGGAAGAATTCTGGAAGACTTAAGTGACACTTAAGCTAAGTCCTGAGCTGAGGAAGGGGGAAAAGATTCCAGGCACCCATTTGGGAAAAAATCACATCATCTGTCATGGCAAAAACAAATCAACCCAAAAAATCATTATAAGCAAAGTAAAAAGACTAAGGAAAATGATGGGGAAAAAAAATGTTTCTCATATCTCAGACAAAGGAATAATCTTCCCAATTTTTAAAGACATAGTAGAAATAAAAAAGCAAATGATCGGTAATTTAAGTGAAAAATAGGCAAAGTATGTGAACTCACAGTTAAAAGAAAAAGAAACACCAACAGCCCTTAATTATAATGAAGATGCTCAACTTCACTGATAAGAGAAATGTAAACTCAAACTACGTTGACAAATCAGTAGTATGTTCACTTAGGTAATTCACCAAGCTGTATACTTTTGATTTGTACACTTTTCTGTATGGGCTAGTCTCCAATAAGTTTACTTAAAAAAACACAAACACACACACAAACCCACACAGCAATACCATTTTTTAACTTGATAAATAATGATAAATCCAAAACTCTGGTGAGGCTGTAGGGAAACAGACACTCTTATACACTGATAGTTCAAAAACCTGTTGCTGTAGAGTCCATTCCAACTCATAGCGACCCTATAGGACAGGGTAGAAATGCCCCATATGGTTTCCAAGGCTGTAATCTTTACTGAAGGAACCCTGGTGGTGCAGTGGGCTAAGTGCTTGGCTGCTACCCAAAAGGTCAGCAGTTGAAATTCACCAGTCATTCCGTGGGAGAATGATGTCGCAGTCTGCTTCTGTAAAGACTTACAGCCTTGGAAACCCTATGGGGGCAGTTCTACTCTGTCCTATAGGGTCGCTATGAGTCGGAATCGACTCAGTGGCAATGGGTTCGGTTTGGTTTAATCTTTACTGGAAACCCTGGTGGCATAGTGGTTAAGAGCTATGGCTGCTAACCAAAAGGTTGGCAGTTTGAATCCGCCAGGTGCTCGCTGGAAACCCTATGGGGCAGTTCTACTGTCCTAGGGGGTTGCTATGAGTCGGAATCGACTCAATAGCAGGTTTTTTTTTTGTTTGTTTGAAGCAGACTGCTACATCTTTCTTCCATGGGGTGGCTGGTGGGTTCGAACCACTGGCTTTTTGGTTAGCAGCCAAGTGATTAATCACCGCACCACCAGGGCTACACTGTACATTGATAAAGCAAAACCTGTTGCTGTCAAGTCGATTTTGACTCATCATGACTCTACAGCAACCTTATAGGACACAGCAGAACTGCCCCATAGGGTTTCCAAGGAGTGGCTGATGGAATCGAGCTGCCAACCTTTTGGTCAGCAGCCTGAGCTCTTAACCACTGCACAACCAGGGCTCCTGTACATTGATACTGGGAGTAAAACAGAACCTCTGTGGAGAAGAATGTGACATTACCTAACAAAACATACGCATTTACCCTTTAGACGTGGCAATCTCACTTTCAGTAATTTATCCTACAGATACACCTACGTACAAAATTACACAAATACAGTTAACTGCAGCATGGTATAAAACAGCAAAAGACTGGAAACACTAAGTATACATCAACAGAAGATTCCATCTGCACGAAAGAATACTATGCACTGCAAAAAAAATAACAGGGAAATTCTACACACTGATATGAAAAGATCTCCAGAGTACACTATTAAGGGCGATAAAATCAAGATGTGAAACAGTGTATATGGTTTTCTATTTGTGTGAAAGGAAGAGGCAAAAATAGGAATATATATTCATATTTGTTTAAATCTACATAAAGAAAATTTGGAAGGATCTAAAAAAACTAACGGACATAACTACTTACAGAGTGGGGGCATAAGAAAAAATGGAGGCGTCAAATATAAAAGCAAAACCTTTCAATGTGCATTTACATTGCTTTGCTTTTTGAACCATGTGAATGTACTGCCTATTCAAAAGAAAAATAAAATTTAATAAGAAAATACAGTCTTAGAGAAAACAGTTAAAGCGATGTATTAAAACCAATGGTTTCACTTCAAAACTATAACTCTTTTTCTCTACATACTAAAAAATCAGGATAATTTCAGTTCTTTCAGACGTTTAGCCCCATCATATTATTGAGATACCTATTTGAAAATGGGTAACTACTTCAGAAATACATCATTAAGGAAACTTAATAAAATTATGACTTGGAAATAGTATTTAATAGCAGATTTTTCAGACAACACATAAAATTGGTAACTTCAACGCAATTTTTAAAAATTATTTATATTTTTCAAATGGTCCATCAAAATAAATAGTCTCAACCATTTTTCCCCAATATGCTAAGGTCAATGGTATGCTGAGACACTGCAAATCCATATCAAATTCTGTTTGAATATCCAAATCAAGATAGCCTAAAAAGGGAGTCAATGATAGCAAGAATAAAGGAGGAATAACTGAGTCAGTGAAACAAAACAAAGAAACAAACAAAAAGCTTACTAGAAAACCTGGCTCAGTGAGGTCTGTATGAGAAAAAGCAGCAAAGCAGAATTCATGCCAAACCTTAAACAGCTAACGTTTATTGAGGGCTTACTATGTACCAGGCACTGTGCTAACGTGATTAACTGTATTAACTTTTAATCACCACGCTACATTTGCCTTTCAAGGCCAGTAACAGAAAAGGAAAGGATGGGGGGAAATTAACTCACTCTACTTTAAAAGGGGTATGGAAATACCAGGAAGAGGACAGAAAACAAAGGAAAAATTTGCCAAACAAGCCCATTAAAAAATAATTGATTTCCTTGATAAACAGGGGCTGTAAGATGTTGTAAGAGCCCTGGTGGTGCACTGGTTAAGAACTCAGCTGCTAAGCCACAGGTCAGCAGTTCGAATCCACCAGTTGCTCCTTGGAAACCCTATGGGATGGTTCTCTGTCCAATAGGGTCACTGTGAGCCAGAATCAACTCAAAGGCAATGAGTTTTTGGTTACAAGATGTTGTGATTATGAACGTATTATGCAAAACTGTTGGAAAAGTTTTAATAATAGCATATGATCATTAGTCAACTGTAAACCAGAAATAAAAAAGTACCTGTATAAGTAAACATATACTGTTGATCATTATACCATTCTTTCAACTTTTCTTACACTTCAAAATGTTCACATGGAAAGTTTGAAAAAAGTTATCACTGTATTCACATCAGTATTACTGGTTCACAATA